ATAAAAAGCAAATCAGTAATTACAAGGGAGAGCACCCATACAATGGACGTATACCACCTTGCTAGTAACCTTTACCAATTAGAATAAAATGCACTGTTAAATTAATGACAGTTGTTCATGAGCTGTCAGTTAAGTTTTCTCAGGAGTATCTAGTAGAACATACCAGGAATTAAGAAACAGCATTTTCGTCTTTTGCCTAATGAGGAATAATGAGAGAGAGTGTAATCATCTAATTTCTAGCAAACAACCACACTACTCTCACTAACAAGAGGAGATGTAGAAAATATCCCCAGAGAGAAGAGAGCATCTTTCCACTTATACTGCTTTACGTCAATAACAGCACCAACTTGCGTGGAATTACTCTCAATTTATTCCTTGTTCCAGTTTAGGAAGGAGATTCAGACCCAAAGGGAGTAGGATTTACTTACTAGTAAATACTATTCTAAAAAATGAGATGATGTACCCACCAGTTTTATTCTGAGTTGATGCCATATGCTCTTTGTCTCATTTAAAATTCAGAAGGTTGTGAATAACCAGAAACCTGTCTGTTCCCATAGGCAAAGATTCTCTCTTCTGCAAGTTCCAGTTAGTAAATAGTCAAATTCACTTCCCTGAGCCCCACAGTCCTTCCTCACTTGCATTTCTGGATGTGAATAAGACCCTCTGCCTTCAGCACAAGATGACCGTGTTATGGGAAATCAGCATGAAGGAATCCAGTTCTTCTGTCTGCACTGGTTGCATACACCTTTTCTACAAGCTGAGTCTCAGAATAAAAGTTACTCCCTAGTCATAAAACTCAATACCAGTTAGTTCTGAGTTAAAAAAATAGGTTTGTTTTCAAATAAGTCATAGAAAAAACTTTTTCTTTTTCAGAAAAATAGCAATTTGTACTCATATTTATGTAGGAGAACTAGATATGTTTCCAGAATCTCAGATGTGCATATGCTCACGCTAGCCTGTTACATTCCAACTTAAGGTATTTATAAGCACATCTTGCAGGCAGGTGCAGTTGAGGTAAGTGGAAGCGGAGTGGTTCATGAAAACACGAGTGAAATATCAATAGCATTTCAAGGGTTTACATTGAAGGTTGTAAATACATGTAGGAGAAATATATTAAGTGCTACTAGGTCTGCGTATCAATGGATATAGAAGAGATTTTACCCTTTTGTGTGTCTAAAACCAAGCAGAGGCTTGTGTTTATTAAATGGTTTTCAGCTACTTTGTGATGATAAAGATGCATATTCTGGAGGTAAAAGATGAATTCATAGAGACATCACATAATCAGAATCTGCTTTGTGCTCCTACCTCAAATATGCTTGAATTACTTTTTTTTACACTTCAAAAAATCTTTTAGTCTATACTTTTTTTTGCAACTAGGCTTCTTGAACTGAGAATTTTAAACCATTGCTTTTGTTGACATTTTATTTCTGTGAGTGAAATGTATTTCAAATTACAAACACCAGAGTGTCAGAAAAAATAGTTTTAGTTCCTGGGATTCTGATACTGTCTTTTGTATTCTTGCTGTAACTAGTCAAAAAATTAAGAACAGCACTACTCAGCTCCTGCAGAGAACTTTCCATTTTAAAAAGCAATAGGAAATAATTAAAACCTAATTAATTAATTTTCCACAGTAATTACTGTGTTGTACCTCATTATTATCCTCATTTTACAACTAGGAAAAAAAAAATCAGACCCAAGGCATGCTTTCCCATTTTCTTAAAAGAGAACTGGGCTCTGAAGCCAGTGCTGCTTGTGGGAACTAGGCAGATGAGAACCTGCACACCTGCTGACGTCATGGTGGCTTTCAGATCCTTCCCTTGCTCTGGGGCTGCACTTACTCAGCCACAGTTTCTTTAAAGAACTGAGATTGACTGTGGAAAGCTGCACTCTCATGTTTGTGTGAAACAGGAGACCTGCCCTTTGTCTCCTTCCTCTTTTTCCCTTAGGGCTAATAATGTCATGAGAGATCTATTTATTCTAAGTACTCTCTGTAAGGTTTGATGCTATATGTGAAGTTATGTGATATGCAAAAGCTTGGGTTCTACACTTGAGGAGGTCTGGTATGGCTTCACAGATCTGAGTACGTGGTAGATGCTAGTCCTGAAGGTGTTTGGGAGCGAGCATTGAAAGTGAGGAGAAGGCCAGCTACAGCTTGGAACGTCTAAAGATTTCTTACCATCTTTCTTCACTATTATTAGAATCCACAGAAATGGAAATACTAAATAAAACTACTCACTGTATAAACTCCTTTAGTCACTTTACTGATCCCTGATTTGCGGCTATAATTTCTGCGTCTCTGTATAATATACGTTAGGAAGCTCCAATCAGCCAGATATCCACACTGGGACTTGAGATGTCTCTGTGCTCAGTCTGCTGCAATGTGCATCAGCCATTCCCTTTCCTGAGACAGTGTTCCATGACCTAAAAGGCTTTGAAATCTGTAGGGTTTTTTTTCAGAATCTGTGTCATAATTTGGATTTCTTTACTACTGTATGCTATTCAAATTCCCAACTTCTGATTCCTCGTTATGCTTCTACTACTAATGAAGCAACCTTAATTTAACAGAGCTGCTTTTAGTAATGTCCATAATGCATGGAAGTCTAACACAGAAACTTACTTTCATAGTCTTTCATATGAAAAATTATGTGCCTTAAAACTATTACGTGGTAGTAAAATTAACTGTCATAATTAATTCATTTCATGAGAGGACAGAATAACTGTCAATTATGTATGTAAAATAGTCTGAAAAGGGAGGAAAAGTTACTCTGTTTTTGTTGACATTGAGATACATCTGTTAGAGGTAGGAGAGAGCTTCTCTCCCACTGGTAATTATTAAAAAAAAATAGATTAAAAGGTTAATTGTTTCAAAATCTAATAGATACCCATTAAAAATTACCAGGATTCCTATTTTTGGGGTTTGGTTTGTAGTTTGTGTCCTCATGTCTCCCATCGTCTACAATGTGCATAAAAATAATTTGATTTTCTTTAAAACCCCATTTAATTTTCTGTAATGATAAAGAGACCACCATCCTGCTTGCTAGTGCTGCTTGTCAGGCTGTCCTGTATTGTTTGAAGAAGGCCCTGCTTTTTAGCCACTTTCTACTTCCTCATCTCTATATCCTACTCTGTCAGTGACCTCCTTTGTAAAGACTAATGACCATCACCCCAGTTTTGAAAAGTTCTATTTGTTTCTTTTGACTTCAGAAGAACCTTTTTGTGCTCAGACTGCCAGGAGAAAAGGCCAGACTGTACTTCAGGTTGTATTCCCTCAAATGACAGAAACCCAGCTAGACGGTATTTTTTTTTAAAACTTGGTTATTAATTTTCCAGATTGTCCACCTGTGAAGTCTTGACTATTCAGTCTAGTATGTGGTTGCCTTTAGGCAATTTAACATCCTTGGGTAGAGGGACCTAGATATAGAGAATACTTGGAAGCATAACTGGTTTGTTCTGGACCTCAATAGCAATGTGTTAATAACAACTGTATAATGAACATAAAGACATAAATCAGTTCCTTCTTTACACAGTAGCAGCTAGAATATGTGTAGATGTTTTGGTGATACTGTTGTAGACAGTCTACAGTTGTAGACTCGTCAATTTTACATAGTATCAAGCTGAACAAAGACAAAATTTTTCTGTAGGTAGGAACCATCATGAGAAAAAGGTCTATTTAGTGTTCTTGAGCATCCACGATCATTTGCAGTGTAACTAGATGATGTCATTTCTAGAATAGTAAGCTAATTTTTTAACTAATACTACTTAAAATTAAAGTATGAACTTTTTTGTTCAGATAAGTAAAGACTTTATGCTTGTATGTGAGAACAAATAAACCCTTTCTAATCTGTAATTGGATAAAAATGTGCACAGTACAATAGGCTTTGTTTTTATCTCAAGTCCTTCTTACAGAGAACTCTAATAGGTTTTAAAAGGAAACACTAAGCTAGTGAGAAGAAGATTTTTAGGTGAGTCTTTGAAGAGAGGTAGATTTCTTTGTAACAACCAAGTAGAGGAAAGAACACAATCAGGTCTTAGGAATATGGTTAATATACACTTGTAGCCCCATTTTTAAAATCCTGTGAATTCAGGTGTCTGAGTGAATTCTGTTTTTTCCACCACATGTGCTAAATAGTGGCGACCTCTGAAGATTGCCTGTGAACATTTAGCAGCATTCCTAAGAAAGTGGGGCTATCATTGCTTCCCCTCCTCAAGCACCAGAGGTATCTCTTCTGGAACTGTTTCGTAGCATGAATAACCAAAGCCATAAGGACAACTTGAATTTAACTGGGAAAGAGCTAAACTTCCAAAAAAATTTTTTCTCATTGCTGTAAGGCTGTACTTCCTGACCTTTAGTGCGGGGATGGGTGCGAGATAAAACAGTGCTTACCACACAGACCAAAAAGGATAGGAGAAATTAAAATCCGCTTAGCTGCCACACCCAACCTCTTGAAAAGTGTACTGAAGTTTGTGTGAGATTCAGAGAAACAGACAAAGTGTTACAAGAAACTGTGAATCTTGGAACAGGTCTGTTTTCGCCTGGTCCTAGGCATCAGTTAGCTTCATAGTGGCTGCTGGATTTTAAATACCACCTTACTTAAAGGCTTTTTAGATGGAAACCATACAACCATTTTCCTGCAGAATATGAGACATTTATATTTTGCTCTTTTTAAAGACTTTAATTTTAGCTAGGGGAGCCTTCTGGTAATGCAAATGATGAACATAGTCTGGAGAAGGTTTCTGGGGTGAGGTAAAAATTTTTCATTAAACTTTTTCCTTAACATTTCAGGTGAAACAAATTGACTAACCTTCAGATAAGACAAACAATCCCCTCCGTAAGCCTATGAATTTCCCTTATAAAAACCACCAGAAAACAAATGACTTCATCAAGTTCCAACTTATGCAAATGTAGCATATCTGAGCCTCACCTAATAATAGAATTGTTGAGTCCTGTTGTGCTGGATAGTCAACTTAATCACAGACTTCTTGAATTGCTCTTTCCACAGATCTGTACCCCAGATTTGGTGGTGTTTCTGGCATGTTCCAGTCAAAGGCTGAAAGAAAGGTTACTGAAGCGTGCTGAACAGCAAGGGAGACCTGATGATAACCTAAAAGCCACTCAAAGAAGACTAATGAATTTCAAGCAGAATGCTGTCCCGTTGGTTAAATATTTCCAGGAAAAAGGGCTAATCATCACAGTAAGTCCTTTAGTATATACCTCTGAAAACTTAATTGTTGTTGTTGTGGTTATGCTTGGCTTCTTAGACCTCTTGCATTAAGATAGGCTAGATGAGTCAAACTGTGTTTTAGGTATACACCGTGGTTACTAAAAGCAAACTTTCAGTTTACTGAGAGAGTATTTTCTGCAAAATGCAGTAACACAGAGCAAAATTCATCTGCATGTAGATGACATGGTAAGCATCATGTCAATTCTTTGCTGCAGGCATAAATTGCTTTGCCAACTAGTTGCAAATCCTTTGCTCAGAAATTAGTTGCATGAAAGAAGAGCTTGCTTCAAAACACTGGTTGCTATTCCAGTGCCAGCAGTTTCATGCCTTGCAAATAGTTATGTACCTTTTGGGTGGTTGTCTTGAGAGGAGAGGAAAGCAGAAAAAAACTACATTCTAACAGAAAGTGTATCTTGAGTTGGGTTGATCAATACAGGCTTTTCAAGGAATAAATATATCTGGCTGTTGATTGACTCCAGTAAATAAGAAGTCCTTAGATTATCTCATCATGGGTTAAATATGTCTTTTTACATGGTCTCCTACAAGCTTTAACATTTCAGATAAAAATTTTGATGACAAGAAAATTGCAATGTAACTAGACCACTTGGATATCAGTAAGTATGCCGATTTCTGCAATATTTGGGGTGAGAGAAAATATTTCTAAACACAGAACATCCAAAAGCTGCATTCATAAATAAAGCCAGAAGTACTTTGTGGAAGTAGGGCTAGCAAGTACTGCTGAAGTGTTTAAGTGCTTAATGATGACTAATTCAATGAGCAGTTGACAATGGCTGAATTATCGACATGTTCTAAATTACGGACTGTGTCTGCTTGTAATAGTGCACAAAACTTGGTGCCACATATGGTACCATGAGAGCACAGATGGCCTATTTTGTTTCTTTTGATAGCCTAAATAACCCTGGTAGTTCATATACATATGTTCTCCTCATGGCAAATATGACTAATTCTATGTGCTGGTCAGATTCATGAAGGGCCAAAGTGTCCTTAATTGCACAGTCATCTAATGATGTTGGTAGCCTTACTAATGTGCTTCCAACATGTTTCTGAATTTCAAAATGAAAATCTGAGGAAATTATTACATTGTTTTCTCTAGAGAGTATCTTTTCTGTTTGAGGATCTTGATTAACTCTGTTTAGAAGGATGAGAAGACTGGAATTCTTGGAAGTTGTTCTTCCTTATGGAGGAAGTATGTATTTTGTGACGTTTCTATAGCCTTTACAAGTGCTCCTCCTATAGAAGGCATACATAACTCTTCAGGGAAAATGTGCCTTTGTAGATAGAGCATGTGGGGGCATCTGGATAGAATTCCTTTTCTGTGATGAGACCTCTAAAACAGAGGATGTTTGTCCTGTTGAGGTTTTGTCTTCTACTTTTTAGCTCTGTTTCTTGAGAGTTCTAAAGGTAATTTAAATTGCAATGTTCGCCTTAGATATCTATTTTCTTTTTGAAGAAAGCAGATGTTTGTGATGGGTATGGAAATGGTAACATGGAATGTGCACATTATATTACTGTCCACTACAGGACAAGGAAACAGCATATGCAGAAAATACTGACTTGGCAACATGTCAAAAAAGTCTTTAATATGAAAAAAATCTGTAAGATTTGAATTTACTCCTTAACCATATGGTATCTACTCGAAGTGTGTTAATATCATTTCATAGAGATCTAGAAATTACTCTAGATTTACATTGGTGTAGAAGTGAAGATAATTAGACTTTGGGAGGGAGACTCTGTTGTTCACCTGTCATTAGAGCTGCTAGAGTGCAGCTGTGTTTCCCTTGTTGCAGAACCAGGACGCATTAGTTAAGCCAACTGAGAGTTAGGTGCATGAGTAATTTCGTGGCCAGTGGATAATAGGATCCCTTTCTGTAGATGATAAAGAATATATATGGCAGACCTCATTTCGGTAGAAGTTCATTGCATATGGAAGTTATATTTTGCAGTTGCCTAAGGCAACGAAGTTAGTGGGGCATAAATGATAAAAAGGAGTAGCTGGGAAAGGAGTAATAACAAGAGATTAAGCATGCACACTCCAGAGCAAGCAAGCAACTGAAAGTTTCTACAAAAGGGCATTTTTTAAAACCACATGACCTTGCAACAGAGGAAACGTATGCTAAGTCCACACAGAAAACTACATACTACTAGAGCAAGTTGTGAATTTTAAAATAGTGTTTCTAAAAAAATTATTGTCACCATTTGTTCCTTTTCTTAGTGCTCAATTTATAGATCAGCATTATCTATAGAGTTTCGACATTCTGACAACGTAATTTCTTTTCATATGTTCATTTTGTTGGAAATTCATTTGTCCAATGGGAAATCCAATATGTTTCTGCCAACTTCCTGTTCTGTTTCTTTAAGCAAACATCCACGGAGATAACAGATGTTTTCTTACTCCAAATGGCTTTGATCCCATTGTCTTCTTCACTGATGAACTTGAGCTTTCTTTTGGTTTGGGGGAAAAAAAAGAAAAGAAACCTAAATCATATAATTTTTCATAGCCTTCCATCAGTGGAAAAGACAAGAGTTTTCTTAGAAAGCCATAGGATCCAAGAGCCATTGCAGTCTTCATCACTACCTTCTCCTGGTGGAAGCCTTGTATCTTCAACTTGCCTTTACTAGTATGTATCTGTATAATACACATGTAATATTAAGACTTCTACATACATTTGATGCACTTGCGCATGGTATTTCCCTATAGAAGGAGGCAGCAAGAAAGAAAATAGCATTTATCCTGCTGATTATAATGTTCAACTTGGAAGGCACTGAAATATTATGCGGATGAGAGCAGTGTAAGAACTAGAACAGCATAAAATAGAATTACGTTAGCCTAATTCCTAGAGGAGTGAATCCTTGAGGCAAGGTCAGGCAAGGTCAGTGTTGACCAGGAAGAAAAAAAAAGATTTACGTTTTTCTTAAATCCCTACCTGCACCTTGTCCCTGCTATTCAAAGCTCTAAATCTCAGACATTTCTTCTACCCAACATCACAGTTCTACTCAGGGAAAACAAACAGAACCATTTGTCTTACGGAGAGTTATAATTTTAGAACCACAACTCTAATTTTAAACATCTACTTAAATATGTTGTTCTTCATCAATAAACTGACCAAAAGAGAAAAGATCTCACTGAAATCTAACTAAATATGATTAATGAGCAGATATTTGATGTAATTAGAGTCAACTGTTAGACACTGTATGGGTGAGAAAATAAAAATCTAAATTCCCAAAGAATATTAATTTTCCTGCTCCAACAGTTATTCCATACTGGTTTTAACATACTTTGGTTAATAGAATTAAAAACCACATTCTTCATTTCAGATCTTACTGGTTAGGTCACTTAGGTGTAATTGTTTCCCTTCGTATTTTTTTTTTCCCTTGACCTTTGACAATTTTATACAGTACGTAGCTTATACTTGTTTGCTGCTCTGTATGTCTTATGTTTTCAGCCTGTGCATGGTATCCCTGCTCTCAGAGTCTGATCCTGGTTTCTGTTTTCAAGAAGAGAAGTGAGGGCCCAACTACAGTACTTGTAAGAAATGGGAAGATATAACTCTGTCCTTTCTGAAAGACTCCTTCTTCGGAATAATGAAGTTGGAATATCCAAAATTTTGGATTGTTGTTCAAATTGAACAGATCTGTAAAATTCATTATAATTAAGAAAGAGAAGTAAATATCTGATATTTTCATGAACACGCAGTCTGTGTTTAAAATTATTTTCAGCAATCTGCCAGTAGGTCTAACAAATCAAAACCTGACTTCACTTAAGTCAAATTTGATTTTAGAAAGTGTCAAGACAATAGTAATAGATATCTCAGTATTGGACATGGGGTATACAAATAGATGCATATGCTGGCATTTACTGTATCAGTAACTTTTTAAAAATCTTACATTATATATTGTTTATCTAGACAATAACTAAGCTGCAAATTACCGGGGCGGGGGGAAGATGTTAGTTAGATTAAATTATAAAAGGGAGAAAGTGTAAATGCCTAGATGATCTGCAAGTACTCTAATGTTTAGCAGAGGACTTCAGTTCTGAACATAGTTTAATCCATTCCCGTATCCTTCCTACCATCTAGCAAATATTAGAATATTATTGTATTTGGTCTCAGGTGCTGACATGACAATTGGTATGTGTACACAGCCATGCCCAATAAACCAAGGCTACTGTTGAGGTGTGGTCATGAGTAGAGAACTTCAAAATAAAAGGGTCTGTGTATGCAAACTTCTAGACAGTGCTTGCTGTTCAATTAAAAATACTTAGGTGGTTCATATTATTCACCTACGAGAATCGTTGTTAGGTACTTTGTCATTTTGGCTACAGTGCTCCTAGAGATACAGTATGGTATCATTTCAGTTTCTAACACTGACTTATAAGGGTTTCCCTCTTTTTTTTTTAATTGGGTAATAATGAAAAAGTAAGGCAAAGAAAGAAAAAAACTTTAATCCCTATGTAACTAATGTGCTTTAATGCTTTTAATGTGGTTGCTATCCTGAGAGAGACCTAGCTTGCTCTGAAAAAATGTGCTGTGAGTTACAAATAATAAAAAGTTAATCCTTCTCCCTACCCCCACCGCTGGCACCCCAGCCTAGATAAACTGTGTTTCAGCAGAAAACTGGTTTGTGTTAGCTGAAGTTCTAGTCCAGTGCATCTTTGTTGTCTGAACATTATATTATGTTGTTGTTCTGGACATTATCGATGTTTCATCATTATTAGACCTACTGCTATGAACTACGTAGCCCTTAAGAAATGTTGGATAAAGCTCAAGAAAATTCCATTCACAGACCTTTGAATAAATTACTATGATGTGAAATTATCCTAACTAGGAAACTTTTTCATTTACATCCCATCAGATGTAATTCATCCCACTGCAGGGAAGTTTAAACACACCAATACAGTATGGTAGCCCATAATGGACAAACCATTGTAGCACCTGTATCATGATGTCCCT